AACGAACTAACGAACTAACGAACTAACTAACTAACTAACTAACTAACTAACTAACTAAGTAGCTAACTAACTAACTGACTGACTGACTGACTGACTGACTGACTAACTAATTGACTGACTGACTGACTGACTGACTGACTGACTGACTGACTGACTGACTGACTGACTAACTAACTAACCAGCTAACTAACTAACTAACTAACTAGTCAACTAACAACTTAGTCACTTACTCACCTACCCACCTGCCTGCCTGCCTACCTGCCTGCCCGCCTGCCCTACTACTTTCCTGCCGACCTACCTGCCTGCCTACCTACACCTATCTATCTACCTACCTAACCACCTAACGACCTACCGAATTCTTGTCAAGTGATGCCTGAAGCTGCAACGGCGCGCTGCTGGGGCCGGTTTCAGCAAGCGTTGGCAGGACAATCGAAGTAGTTGGCAGACGCAAAGGTTCATAACGAGAATGACGTGAATCAGACTTGTGCAGCGCAAAACAGCTCTACTTGAAGCACTGAGCCAGCACCGTACATCGTGATGATCCTCGCAGACGATCCTAAGCCCTACGCAGTGTGCCGATGAAGTGGCTCGTCGCAGCTTTGCTTTCTGGCGTTGTCGGTGTCTTGGCCTGGAGAGTGAAATGCCGACATTGGCGTGCGAGGTTCTACATGGTTGAGTATATGGGGGCTTGAGTTCGGCAAACCCAAGTTCCTGACATCTGAGACTGGGTGCGGGTTTGGGCTTTGGGGCTGCATGCTGCGGCTGCAAGCACAAGGGTTTTCAGCGGAGGAGCTTCTCAGGCTTGCGGGAACCCAGCAATTTCATCCGGGATGCAGGCCCCAAACCAAGAACCCGAAACTGCAAACACCAAACACTAGAACCCTAAACAAAAAACCGCGCACAAAACCCGAGTGTGAGCCGGCCGAGACCGGATGCAGGCGTAGCCGGCTCTGCAGCTTCGACTTGTCTGGAGAGCGGACTCCCACCGGAGAATCGATCCTACCTGCAGGACAGCCTAAGGCCTAAGCTAGCGTCGGCAGCAAAAGGGAAGGGAGACTTGGTAATCATTGTATGAGAGTCCCGGCAAGACTCTCCATGGCAGCGGCGCGTGGCCGGCTGTGTTTCGTCATACCGGCCCGATGATGAATTGATATCCGCAAGACCACGCCACTCAAGACCCCAAAAGTCCTTAAACTCTAAACTCGCCAGGCTTGTTCCAGTTTTCAGTGAAACCCTAAACCCTTCGAAACCCGAAGCTCAAGCAACTGTGCCAGGACAGTAATGGGCAGGAGCTCGCTTTGGGCCTCTTAGAGTACGACTGGCCCTCAGCCCGGTTGGTGACGCAGAGCCCCGGCTTATTCGGGTTTGGGGTTTAGGGACTTTGACCTTCAGGCCCAAGTACCCGGCGAGGCTTGGTACAGCAGTAATACGCTGAGTCTAGGGCCAACAGGGCCGTTCTTTGTGTGTGGCCCCACTCAAGAGAGGAGCTGTGGGAGTCCATTTGGCTTTTTAGTGGGGCCACATTTTGGAAAAGGCTCCCGGGTCTAGGGATTTTTCGGGTTCGCAGGGTTTAGGGACTGTTAGGGCTTCGGGTTTAAGCGATCTTCGCCACTAGGCCGACAGACCATCGACAGACCATCGACAGAGCATCCGCAGAATTCGGGAGGTTTCGGGTTTCAGGGCTTCTCTGCGTGTAGCTGGGCAGTCCGGGCAGCAGTCGGGTCCCTTGTGAAAGGGGCACTGATAGAAGGTTGGCCAGGCTATGCCGGGCTGCAGGATGTGTCGCACCAGCACAAGTATATAGACTATACATACATACATATATATATATATATAAATGAATGATTATCGATTTGTTTGGCAGTGATGGCACTGATGGTGGTGATGGCATTGATGGAGGTGACAGTTGTAAAAGAGACTGCCAATGTGAAGTACGGCCCTCATGAATCAAATCCCGAAGCGCCGGCTGTGAGGATCGCCGCTATCTTGCTGGAGGAGCAGTTGGGCTACCACGTGTCCTTTGAGTACCGTACTTCCAGCTTCATCGAGTCTTTGCGCCAGCTTGCCGGATGTGCAGAGGGTCAAGGCACTGGTATTCTGGGACCTGGTCCTGACGGTGTCCCACGAACCGTCCAAGGTGACGTTGTGAGGCCATGCTCCGCCGAAGTGCGCTGCCATGTGGCCTTGGACAGCCCTGTCGGAAGAAACGAGCACCTTGGATGAAATGCAGCATGTATCGCGCCGTATGAAGTTTCTTTAGATGTAGTTTTTTTCAAGCAGGTCTACTAACGCAGCCAACATTCAATGCAGATCAGTTGAAAGCTTTGCAGAGGTTTACGCAACTGGCCTTCCGGGCAGCAACGCCGTTCACGTCGCCTGAAGATGTGGGGAGCATGGGCTACTTCAGTGAGCAGAACCTCGCAGTGTCCTCTGCGATCCACGCTGCTGCCTATGAGGAGGGGTTCAGCATGATTCGTGCACCCAACGGCCGTTTATGACATTATCATCATCTCTTCGCTTGGCGAAACGGTGATGTGTTGAGCTGACAGTGTATGTTGACTGTCATGTCTTGGCATCATGGTGTAAAGTGCGGTCGGGATGCGTTGCGGAGATGTGATGATCAAGAGCTTCAGCACAGCGACACCCGACGGAATAGGAGCATGATGTAGGTGATGACAAGAGACAAGAGAGTGAGTGATGGCGCGAACAAGAAGGTGACCGATGATTCGTTTGATAGTGACGGCCTTCCGAAAGGAGCAACTAAAGGTGTTCGATAGCAAGAACACATTCGTTGAAGAAGGATCGCCATACAGCTTAAGCCCTAGCCCCTGAGCCAGACTTCACCCCGTCGATTGGAGGACAGCGGGTTGGCCCTGGATTACTATCTGACCTACAACCAGAGCCTGATGAACAAGCAACTTTGACAAATAAAGATTTGCTTCGGACTTCGGATGTTGAAACGAAGATCAGACCCTCGACTTTAAGCCCCTTTAAGCCCCCTTCTGAGTTGGCCTTGCTATTTCCGACGTGATCGTGCCTACTGCGGGGAGCTCGCAAGCTGCGGTAGCTGACGTCCTGAGTTAATCTACACCCTAAACCCCAAAACAAACCCCCCAAACCAAATCCCTCATCGTGCAAGAACAGGCAGGGGGGGTTTAAGGCCCCGGGGCCGACCCTGGGGCATCTGCAGCCCTTCAAAGAAAAACTTTGGGCCAAGCCCTTGTGCTGATTTGCTGCCTGGCCGCTCTTGTGATCCTTCGTGGGGCCCGTGCATTCCTGCTAGCAGCAGTTGAGGTGTCTGCGATGCTACTGGCACAAGTGTTCTGCCTCCGAAAAACCCAAGACCCTGAGCCGTCCACTGTGTTGTGCCCAGGTACAAGCCACTCTTTAAACCCACGGCCTACTTCGACGAGCTCTCTGGGGTCGACCGCGCCGAGATTTTCGAGTGCACAGACGCGGGACTCGAGTGCTCCGGACTTCAGAGAGCCCTACAAGGGGTTTTCGGGTTTGGAGCTTAGGGGCGTTGAGTTTTGAGGGCTTTTGGGTTTGCGTCTTGGGGTTGACAGGCGGAGTTTCGAGCTGAAGGCAGAGGTTTCTGGGGGAGTCTCTTGCTCAAAGTAGCTTTGATATTCGCTTTGATTCGCACGGCTGTTGCTGCATCCTGTGATCGGTACCATGGTTCTGGCGCCTGGGATCAGGTTTGTATACCAGTTCGGGAACAAGGGCTCCTTTACGGTAAGGGGGTTCTTTAAGGGCTCCTTCCGGGGTACAGCTCCTGAAGACCTCATGCCCGTGCAATGAGCCTGCGATGCAACGACGGCCGTGCGGGGAGGCTCCAGGTCCTGAAGCCGCTTGCGTGAGAGCCGCCTACGGTTTTACAGTTGTCGGGCTCACATCATCCCTGTTAACAATTATGTCAACATGATCATGATTACCTTTATTTTTCTATTATTACTGTGTCATTATCATTGTTCTTATTTCGTGTTATTCTTACTAATGACCAGAGACCTTTGAGGATGACACGGCAGAGAGAGACTGCTATGATTTTTTCTATACCAAGATTTCCCAGGTTCACCGATCCGATCAAGATGGCGGCCTACGTGAACTGGACCGGCGACGAGGATGGGGCAGAGTTTGGGGGCGTTCAGGGTTGGAGGCAAAAAGGGCTGTTTCTAGGGCATTCTCCTAAACTCAAACGGCAGTTCTGGACTTTCTTGCGAGAAGCTTCAATTCTTGAGCTTCGGATGAGGCTTGCCCACGCGATGACTTAAACCACTGATGCCGTGGCTAAGGCCTCTTTTCTCAGTGACTACACTGGTGTTGCTGTGATTTACTGCTTTTGTCTCCTAAACCAGGAGTCGGAAGGATGATTGATATTGTTCGCTCATACCACTAAATCCAGCTGCTGTACTCTGTTACCCAAGAACCCTTTTCGAATTATTAAGGGCCCCCGAAATTAGGCTTATGGATCTTTTCGGGCGCTGGTGCAGATAACGCTCGATCCACTCCGGCCTCAGAGCCTCCAGCGCTAAAGATTGCCGTTGGGTTTAGGCTTTGGGGTTTGGGGTTAGGTTGTCGGGTGTACTAGCAGGGCTTGGGGTTTATTTAGGGTTTAGGATGCCTTGCTGGTGAGGATGGTGTGGTGCGGCAGGCTGATGGCAGCTACGCTGCCGGGCTTAACAGGTCGCGAACTCTTGACCCTGACGGACAATTTCAACACAGCTGATCGTGTTCAAGGGGAGAAATCCATCCCCTAAACCCCAAACCCTGAAATCCACAGGCAACATGCCTTGAAACCGGAATCTGTCGATCCCACGCAGCTCAAGCAGTTTCACTCAAGCGGACTGCGAACCACATGCCTCGCCTGGAGTGTCGGAGTGTGAGCGCCGAAACCCTTAAAGCCCTAGTCTCCCTATGAAGATCTAACGCTGGGGTGCTGGAATGCGTTCAAGGCGTCAGCTGCGGGCAAGCAACGACTTAGGGCATCCGTCGGCATAGGCTAATAGGGAGCCGAGGCGGCAAGGTGTCCGGACGGCCACTTCTGGTTGGCACCCAGCTGCCGGCACAACGCTTCTGAGTGCATTCCAACCTTTACAGCTGGGAACGGCTGGCTCGCAGATGCTTTCATGCAGTGGCGGCTTGGCCTGGCTAAAGCATTGATTGAAGTGCAAGAGACAGCTCGCTCGTTGGCACGTTCGTTCTCTTTTCCTTCGCTGTCTCTCTCTCTCTCTCTCTCTCTCTCTCTCTCTCTCTCTCTCTCTCGTTCCATATATGCACACACACACACACTTATACATACACGCACACATACACATACACATG